CTTTTGAAAAAAAAAAATACGTACCAATTTTCGATCCTAAATTTACAACTAAACCTTTCCGACCAAAAATCGTTTTTTTTTTGTTCTTTTGGAGTTACGCTTTTTTGATAATTTTTTTACAAGATAATGGACTACTCTCGTGGTGGTATTTTTGTAGCAGAATCAAAATTGTTGAGAGCTTTGTTTCCAAGATTTTTGAAATTTTTAATTTTTGACATTCTGTAATCTGCCCCTATTCGCACAGCAGATAGACCACGGCATAAGAAACCATTTTTGTGCAACTTATAATAAAAAATTGTTAATTTGTATACTTTTAAAATCGTATATGCATAACAAGCATGTTCTTTATATAGTGAATCGGATAGAAAAAGGTGCGCCATCGTAAAATGCATTATTTTCCTATAATGAATACACATGGAACATTTCTAAAATAGCAAATCACAAAATTAATTAACTCTGTCTGATTGCTTGAATCATTATCTGTCTCTTGTCCAATGGCTAAAAAATGCTGATAATAAAATGACTCGGTAAGTAAGAAAAACGGGAAAAACAATGATGTGTATAAAGCTTTTTTAAATATTTCTGAAAAGCAAAAAATGTAAATATTTTAATGCAACAAACTAAATGCTAAAAATGTATTATTATTTATTTTATTTGAAATCACAAAACTCATCACTCAGAAGACTTTACTTAATCAATCAAACAAATACAGGCAATAAATTTAAATAAAGGTTTAACGCAAGCAAATTGTGTGCTTTTGAAATCTACTTTTTAGTGACAAATTGATTGAGACAACAAAATTAATGGAAAGTTACCCATACGCACTGATTGCCACCCACAATCGTTCACTTGTGTGAAGTGTTGCTGCACAAAAGCAGCCAAAGTGGCGGCGGTATACCGCGGTAGTAAGGTTTAAAGCAACCGACCGACTGCCCACGCTGCTGATATGTACATACATATGTGCAGGCGATAGGGTTGATATTAAATCGCTGTAAAAGCGTTGTTGCGATTTGAAGCAAGAGTGTCAATTGTTGCTTATGAAGCGGCCGCCGAAAACATCGGATATCTTATTAAATATAGCTTTAAAGCGATTGTAAAATATTAGGCTGTCCGGTATCGTTTCACATCATCTAATTTCTATTCCGTAAATATCTACATAATATGTACATACATAAATTATATGTACATAAATATGTAACATATTTTTAGTGCCTGGTTTTTTTCCTTTATGCAAAAAATTTCCTTGCTCGACATTCCGTTTACGACTATTTATTTTGCGATTAAAATGCTATAAATCAATAGCTAATAAGGAAAATACATAATATAATAACATCTGTAAATTAAATATTTCACATGTCGTATGATTTTTTATTGTTTTCCTCTCCGTCTCAGCAAAAATACATTACTTACGTATGTACATAGCAGAGATTTAACAGTTAACATTTACTCATATAACACTGCGCTGTTATCATCCCTAAATAAGTGTGTATGTATATACATAGGTTCATTCATACATATATATTGCTTATATTTGCATTTTTTTGTCACACGCGTCAGAGCCGGCTTCAATTTACAGACAAATATACAAATTGTCGACACAATTTTACTAGAAGTATTTAGTCACTTCGTTGCGCGAGGTCTTTAGGAGTATACACAACAAGTCGAAGAGCATAAAAACAAAAATAAATTTACTCAAAAAACTAAAGTATATACATATGTACATTAGACTGATTCAAAAAAATCTACTAATTTTTTTTAAACCCCCTGTTCAATACCTCCGGAGGAATGTTAAAAGATGCCTGTTAATAGCGCAACCCTTAATATTAATGATGATTTCGTTTCTCCCAAAAAATGTCGCCTTTTGATTGCCCTTTATCTTTTCGGGTTCGATTTTATATTAAAGGCAAAGGGTGAGAAAATTTTCACACTCTTGTAAGGCAAGACAGGCAACTTTGTTGCCTGTTGAAGCTTTGCCAAGGGAGATGGTTGCCCTGAAAATCAGATGGTTGCTTAAAACGATAATATCTATGAAGAAATGGGTGAACTGAACAAGGACAAGAAGGCAAAAACATGCCTTTTTAAAGGGTTGAGTGTAACATCAAACGCATTTTGCTCCGTGCCAGGGCAACATTTTTGGTAGAAACGAAATCACCATGTCGTTTTCCATTTATATAAATTACTTAGAAAAAACTGTTTTCAACTTTGGAATCTGTTTTCTAGTCTTTGAATTATCGAACTGAAAAGTGCTATGCATATTTTTGTAGGAGATTAGACGCTCCATGATGCATATATTAAGAGGTAGTTTCACTTCTTCTTCTTATTCGCCATTGCTCCCATTTCACGTAAACTGTGCTTGTGACATTTTCTTTTTAATTGAAGCTACCACATTCTTTGAAGAAATTAAAAAGTGGTTTTTTACTAAAAAAAAAAATATTTCAAAATTATTTGAAAAAATATATTTTGAGCTTTTATAGGGAGCTTTTAGCAAGGCGTATTCATATAAGGTGGTATTCCTAGAACAGCTGTTTTAATTCGCCTCGGTACACAGATGTTAAAACTTCTTCGCCTTGACTTTTAGTGATTTATTTCTAAAATTAAATATAAAACGGAAGGCAAGTAAAATACTCATATTACATTCCGTAACGCATATAGAAAATCTATTTGTTAATACAATTATTTTCATTGGCTTCATATTTCGGGATGACCACGTGCATGGTAACTTCATAATGGTGTTGCTTGTTTGTTCCAACCACTTTTCGGTAGAAAATTTTCAGCCTCGGGACGGATGTACCCAATCTAAGCGAAACGCGATACCAGCAGCAGTAGAGCGTCTGTCTATAAACTATAACAAGGAATTAGAAAATTTGTTTACCTCCTTCTTCATGACTACATCATACGTTATCACCAGGGAACGGTTTTTATGGAAATTGCCTATTTTACCTTCCTTTTATTAGCTCGGGATGTAACTATGTAATATTTATGCGCCTAAAAGATGCAGCGATTTCTATTCTCAAGTTACATACCCGATGACAGTACGAATGGCAATTATAATAGGGAGGTTTTAGTTTTTTTAATTATATTTCTGCTAATGAGATAGAGTATATTCGATTAAGAATGTCCACGGTTTAGCTTTCCCTGATTCCATATATCGACTGCTGAATGGAAGATCGACCTATCTCGGCAGCCGAAAACACCCTATCGCAAAAAGCTTTTCAAAAATATCCTATTTCAGAATTTGGTTGAAGAACGCCCTATTTCAGAATTCGTTTCAAAAACGAAAGTTTAATAAATCTTGCAAATAAATTTTACTTAAAAAAAAATTATTTAAAATCATTTCTACTGTATTGAGCTATTTATGTTCGAAAGATTGTGTTATAATTTTTTCACAAAAAATGATTTTAATAATCGTACCTAAAATAGCAGAAAAAACTGTAATAAAGACATAAATTTAACTTTAAGTTTGAATAACCGTTAAACCAGTAGGTTTATCAAAAATGATATGAGAAGTTTTTTTGTAGAGCGTCTAATTTCCTACAAAAGTATGTATCGCACTTTTCAGTTGATAATTCGAAGACAATTCCAAAGCTGAAAACAATTTCGTTCTAAGAAATTTTTATTAAAATACAAATCCGCGGCCTTTTAAGCTTAATATTAAGGGTTGCGCTTTTAACAGGCATCTTTTGGCATCTCCCCGGAGGTATTGAAGAGTGGATTAAAAAAAATTGGCGATTATTTTGAATCAGACTAATGTACACAAATATTTATAATTTAATCTGTTGTTCAGAACATCGCAGCACTACATGAAGAGAATGTTAATGTTACTTAACATTTGCGCCTTCTCATTAGATTAACATTCTCTGGCATAACATCACTGTTCAGTAGCATTCCTGTTACTGTTGCTTCTGATGCTTCAAACTACGCTGGTGTACGCATTGACTTTGACTTTGGTGTTAGCAGCGGGGCGAAGACCAGTGTTGCCATTTTAGCCATTTTCTGGCTAGAACGATTGAAACGTGCATTTGTTTCTTGCGCAAGAAGTCAACACGGATTGCGCGCGATCCAGCCACGAGAGTCGGGCACGCACACTGGCAAATACAAATTCATTCCGACCAAACTATATCGAAATGCACGCATTTTTTTCATAGATGAATGCAGAAATGTTTATTACGTAAGTTGTTGTTGAAAATTTTCCTCCACGAGGCGCAGAAATTGCTTAAATGTTCAATTTCTCATAAAAAAAAAAATATTGAAAAGCAAAAAATATAAAATTTGTAACGCATATAATCTCATTGTATAGTTTAATGTTTTTTAAATCTGCACCCAATTCGGACACTTTCAAAGAAAAATAAAAATTACCAAAACACTGTAAAAATTTTCAATTGTTGATTACAAAAAAAAAAACTATTTGGAATTTTGCAATACAATTTAGACAGCGTACTTTTCGACTATAAAACTTGGCGCTGCCTGAATATCATTGAAAAATATTAATCTTGGTAAATTCGGGGCCCACTTCAGGGTGCATTACCCTGTGTAAGTAAATTCAGATTTTTCTCCGACTGCTATCTTGCCATCTTGTTTTTGACAGTTTTGAATTTTCGCTGTTTTACAATAGCAATCGTTAACTCAGTTTTTAATTTTCAAAATATGTGTTTATTATATTAATTTTTAAAATTTTAGTAACACCTTCTAATGCGGCAGCTGCTGACCTATTCACCATTAGAGATGTCGTATGTATCCAACTCGTATGCGTTTTTTCCCGCAGGGTTGTATGTTATAGTTTTATGTATTGCTTAAGTTTTTGCTGCAAACTTTTATAATTATCTGTTATTTTTCGCAAGCTTTCGCTCCATGCTAAATTTTTTTATTCTCAATGAATGTCGGCACATTTTCATTTCAGCGCAATCATTAAAATTCCTTTGACTTTGCTGTGGCTGCTTCAGTTAGGAGCACTGCTATTCATATCACCATTGCCTCTGCTAGGCAATGCCGCCACTGTAGGCATTTCATATGCAGCTTTTCAAAGTCACTTTGCCAGTCAGATGTGTAACTTTGGTGTGAACGGATGTGGTTAGAGTTGTTCCTTGTGGTGGTCTGTGGTAAAATTTAATTAAACGCTCGTGCAAAAAAAATCAAATATATACATAGAACATATGTATGTACATACATATGTATATAGAAAAAGTGTGAAGTGTGCAAGTTTTATTAGCTTTGCTTCATACTGCTATTTTATCATAACTATGTACATACATACTTTGGGTTTATTCCGCAGGTGAATATGTATTAACAAGGCGAACCCTCATCATTTGTATGCACAAAAAGTTATTTGAAAAAGTTGGCAAAAAATCTATTGCGAATTTTATACGGAACACGCCTTGAATTTACATAATTTTTAATACTAAATAGTTTGCACGGTCGCTCTCGGAAGGAGTAGACACGTGTCGTTGGGTTTTCTTCTTTTTTTAATTTCTTTATTTGATTATGTATTGCTTTCTGATTTTCAAAAAGATACAATAAATAAGGCTGTAAAAAGAACAACAACGACACCAAAGTTACTACGGTACAGTGAAGTCAAAATTGTGCAAGCTTTATATATAATATATGTATAATACATACATATATAAATATATAAAAAATCGTGATCTGTATGTGTGTCATATTCAGATTTGTGTAAGAGCATAAATACGAAATTAAGTGAAGGATAAATAGCAAAACGTTTTGTGTTAAAAGCGCACATAAATATACATACACAACGCAGGATACAGAACGGGCCTAAAAACTTGAAAAGGAAATACATATACCTACACATTTGTGCCGAAAGACAGCAGAAAAGGTGAGTGTTAAATCAAAACAGCTGAGCTTACTTCTCGTGAGGGTTAACAGCAATTTAATTGAGATTTAACATACCCACTTTGTACATATCTGCTACATATTTATGTTGGCAACATGTGTGCTTTGTGTCTAATGCAAAGGACATAACATATGGCATGTTAGGTAAAGAAAAAATAAAATGGACTGAAATAAAAAATGAAATGAAAAAATAAATAAACGTGTTAGTAAAAAAAAAAAATAAAATCAAAATTAAAATTAAAGCACAATAAAATAATTATTTACAAAATTAAAAAGAAATGTATTTTATAATAACATAAAGACAAAATAAAATAAAATTTAAAACAAGTTATTTACACAACAAAGTAAATCTAAAAAAGTAATTTTTAAGCAAACACCACAACCGACTTCAATTCTCATACAAAAATTAAGACGTACTGTAAACTTCTTTATCATAATAATTATGATCCAATGATCGGATTTAAACCAAATTAGTATAGGACCAACTGTGAGATAGAAATATAATTACCGAAATCAGTTGACGTGCTCCAAAGTTATGCGGTAACATACATTAAAAAAAATAAAAAATTAAAAAAATATTCCGACGAATTGATAACCTTCTGCATTTTTTGAAGCCGGTTAAAAATATAATAAAATTAAAACAAAAATATAGTCCCAGTCAGCTCGATGAAACTTGCACTTTATTATACAAAAATCTTCTAAATATTTCTATTAACAAGTTCGAAATTCTGAGGGAAATTTGTTAAAATTTTTTATAAAGTTTGATTTATATGGTTTTCGTTAAAGCATGAATAAAATTTTCCACAAAATAATAACAAAAAATTGTAACTTGAAAAACATAGTGGAGATAAATTTAAAAAATAAGAAGTGAAGCCACAATAATAAAAAAAACCTTTTGCTTTCATCGATTTTAATTAAAAAATGAATTAATTACAACCGGAATTTATATGGAAATTTTAGCTGGCACATATTTTTGCTGAATAACAGATTTAAAAGGGCAACAAAGAGGGGAAACCCCGCGAGTATGTTAGCTTAACTAAATGTTTTACAACAAATTCAGTGCTTGTTCATTATTTTTCTACTTTTTATGCATTCTTCTGTGCCAACGCAGACGCTTTTTTTTTGGTATTAGTGCTGTTTTCTCAATTGCATAATAATTTAATAGTTCCTTGTTTTTCCCCCCTTTATGCACTTTTGATTTGCGGTCATTCATGTGTTCGTTAAACGTCACTTATATGTTGTACAATAAGATGCTTATACAATTTTTTATTTTTGTTGTTTTTTTTTGCTTTGGCGTCGAGTGCTATTATTCTTACATGCAATACTTACAAGTTATTTTTATTTTAAATACATATGTACATACGTAAGTATGCACGGCAAGCATATGTAACCTTTGCCGCAAAGGCGTGAGGAAACGTGATTTTCCACAAGGAAACCCCCAGTGGTGCATTTAAAGTGTTTTGCTTTATGTATTTTGTTTGTAGATAGGATTGAAATCAACTTTCATTTAGAAGTTTTATTTAATTAGTTGAATATTTTGTTTATGATTAAATAAATCATAAGATAGAAATTGTAGTTTTAGTAAAAAAATATAAATAAATAAAATAAAACACATAAAATAAAATAAAAAATAAATTAAAAGACATAACAATAAAAAAATAAATAAAAAATCGTAAAAAATTAAAATGAAAATATACAAAAAATATATGAAATAAAGTTACGTTAACTTAAATCATGTGAAAATAATGTAATTTTGTTTGCAGGCAGGGGAATGGACCACACTTCGCATTACTTCAGTTTGACGTTTCATATTTGTCATTAATTAAGTTTGTCATCTTTTATAAGCCAGCATAGCTCCAAAGATTTGAACCGAAATTTGAGCATTGTGCTACTCCCGATATGGTTTTCTTGTGTTTATGGGCTTTAGTAGTCTCTACTAGTCAGCTTGTAAATATAGGAGATCTTGAAGCGTTTCTCTAGTGCCTCTTATGTACACATGTTGGCCCACTTTTCGCTGTTGAAGGCGAACAAAGTACATACTACACGCCTCTATCTACTCAACTATTGAAAAGTTACCGATTGGATGGGCATATGCGACGAAAAACGTTTTACGGATACGCTTTCTTGTTCTCCTTTTCTCCTTTTTTTGTATTGTATTAAAGATAGAATTCTGCAATGTTAAAAACATATTAAATTTTTATGCCTACAAAATGCACACATGTGTACATACATATGTCGGTGATACTGCAAAACGTTCTATAAGTGACTTATTACCTTTGGTGCTTAATTGATCGGTTATTTGTATCCGATAGCTTCGGGCAATCGTTCATCTTCATCAGCCAAAGGTAGACAGTTTTGTCATTCGTTTATTAGGGTGTAACGATTTGCCGATGCATTCCGGTGCAAGTAAGAGACCATCTAAGTGTCAAGGGTACTAATAGACATAGACCGTTTTTCAGTATCACCGGCGATATGTATGTATGTACTTATATCAATGTATGATTATAACTAAGCAGTTGTGTACCGCCTGTGTTTATTTTATTTATGACGTCGTTTGGTGAATTTATTATATGAAATTTGTTAAAAATAGAACAAAATTATAATGAGAACAAAGCGACGAGTGTAAATTTGAATAGGTAGAAATAAATAAATTATATATTATCTGCCATTTAAGTAAATTTTATGTTAAGCTCTTACTTGCAGTGGTAAAAATATACTGATGTTTTGTTTAAAAAGTAAAAGTAGAAGTAGAAGTTCAGTATCTCTATTGACGCACTAAGTGATAAACATGTGAAATTTGCACAGTTGACACCTATTTGACGCAAATCTTTTTAAATATACTATAAGTATTTTTGCGAAAAATTTAAGAATTTTCAACGTGCCAAAAATATAGTATCGTTATGTTTGTTCTAACAAATCGGAGTGAGTATAAGAACATTCCTTAAATAGAATTTATTTGAATTATGCACGTACTCCCACCAGGATACATATTAGTCTAAAATTAAATTGTGTTAAAAAACACTATATGTATGTACATATATACATATGTATATAAAAAATAATAAAATTAAATATGACAAATTAAAATTAAAATTAATTAATTGATTATTTAATTGAAGTTTGAAGTATCTAATTCTTTCTTTACTGTTTTTATTGTCATTTTATTTATTGTAGTTTAACTCAACGTGTAATAAGACGCAATTTTTTTATCAGCACTGAACCATTTTATATCGCCTATCGCTAGTCTACATGATTACTGTCAAATAAAATTGTTTGTGTACGACGGAATGGAATTTCTACAAAATTATAATAACTATCGTTCATTGTTCTATAGAAATGTTTTATTTTAAATATTATAAATATTTTGATAAGTACATATTAAGTGACGCCAATATAAGTTCACGCGAGCTTTTTTTTCAATCTTCTCTATACTTTTTACGCGCGCCTACTGTTCACGTGAATCATACGTGCTATCGAAGTTATGTAAATAAAATCGACGGCTTGCGAACAACAATAAAATCTTAAGCATACATATATGTACATTAGGGTGCATCACTCTCCATAAAAAAATCTGTACTTTTTTCCATCGGAATTATAAAATTTATTATAAGGCAGTTCACTCTTTGATGCGAAAATGCGAACGCTACTTTTTCGATTGTTTTGTTGCTTTGCTGTGCGTTTGTGCGAAACGACGCCATAACAGTGCCGTATGTTTGTTGCAAAAAAACTGCCGATTTTCGCACATTCGCTCAAACGCACACAGTTTCGCATCAAAGAGTGAACTCTAGTTATATTTTAAGACTTCCGCTAAAATATGAAGATTTACGTAAGCCAGATCGATTTGAAGATACATGCCCAAATCTTGTATTTTTTATAAATAAAATTAATTTTTTTTAATATTTTTTTCTAAAAAATCTCTTTTAAGGAAGCGGCCGAGAAAAAAGTTGCCATTGCATATTTCATTTGTGTGTCCAAGGAATTTTGACATCTGATATTTTGCAGACCGTTGTCTCACTCTTATTTACCTCACAAAATATGGAACGGGCATACATATATTTCTGTTGCAAACCTGGGTGCTTTTTTCACAAAAAAAAAACTTTAGAAAGCGTAGGAAATTTCTTACGAACTGCGAACAGCCTTAAGAAAATTTGACACATAATAATCTTCACGCCATTTCCTGAGCGTTTTTTATATGGAGTCTTTGCTTTTCTTGCGAGCTGGATACTAAACTTAAAAGGCCCGGAAAGTACTGTTTAACAATTTTATCAACATAATGAAAATAGTGAGATTTTTGGAGATATTTTCAAATCGGCCCAGCTTATGTAAATCTTAACATTTTCTGCGAAAATCTTTTTGCGAACGTTTTAAAATATAATAAGTTTTGAATTTCCGTTGGAAAACACTGTTTTTTTTCTGGTGAGGCACCCTAATATACACACTGTACACATATGTATGTACATAAATATTTTTCGCATACATTTGTGAAGTGATCATATATGTATGTGTACACGTGCTTGCATTTATAAATATCATATGCCCGTGCTTCAGCTATCACCACAAAACTTAGCGGCTGGCGAATGAATTTTTCGCATCCTTTTTTCGATTTTCACACAATTTCACATCCAAATTGTATACTTACAATTTATTTTTCCCATTTTGTGCAAAATCAATTACCCTTCACATTCATCTAATTGTTGACCTCTAAAGCCACCGGCCATTTGTTTGTATGCAAAAATCAAACTGGTATACCATGAAAATGCGTGTCCGCTGTCAAAATGACGTCGAATGACGTTTTCTTTTCTACTTAAAATGTTGCCTTTTCATTGCCTTCTTCTTTGTATGAGAAGACAAAATTTGTCGGTAGAAAGGAAATCACCATTAGTATATTATGCGAAAGTATGTAAATACATACATATGTACATACACATTCACATAAGTTCCCAATATGCACAAAGCAAAAATTTTTCAAACTTTTTTCCAATA